CGGTCGGTGGCCACGAAGCCGCGTGTCCTCCTGATATCGTCAATTAGGCCGCCGCTGCGTGCGCTGTCGTCAGTATTAAGGTCGTCGCTTCTGCTGCCGGGGTCGCCCCCGCCGGCAAGCGCCGCTGCGTTGGCGCGGCCAGGGGCGGGGTCAAACTCCATACTGGTCACCACGCCGCCCCCGTTCCGAGAGGGCGCGTGGGCGTCGGGGCTTGCTCTGGCGGTTGTTTGCTCAGACCTCAACCTCCTTGCCACCGCTTCGACGACGAGGCTGCCTACCGGGCCGCCCGCTCCCATGCGCGCGTGAATGGCGCGCCCTTCGCCCTTCGCCATGGCCCGGGGCGCACCACGCATAACTTCGGCGGCTTCCGCCGGAACGGGCCTCCGCAGCTCGTTTTCAGGGACTGGCTTGTCAGCAATGGCCTGGTCAAGGTAGCCCCCCCCCCGATCTGGGCTGCAAGCCGCGCCAGGTCTGCCCTTTCGGCGGCTGCGCCGGCTGCAAGAGCGGCGCGGACCCGATCGCTGGGCCCCATGGGGGGCACCGGCGACATCCCGATGCTGGGCCTGGCGATCGCCGGCGGGAACCAGCTGCGCAGCTCTACGTGGACTGGGCTTGCCTCCGTCAGGCCCCGCATGCGTCTGCATGTGTCCAGGGCCCATTGGGTAGGAGCAGCGCAGAGCTGCGCCAGCGCCGCCACAGCCGCGCGGAGCCGAGGGTCGCCCCCTAGGTCGTCTCTGCCCAGGATTCGGTTACTGAGCCACGCGTCTGGGCGCGCGGCCACGCGTCTCCACGCGCCGAGCAGCTCGCCGACGAGCCTGGATGCGGCGTAGTCCACTGGGCCTGGCGCTCGCGGTGTGTACAGGTGCTCTTCGATCGGGGCATGCCAAGCTCCTACCCTGGCCAGCTGAAAGGGAAGTTATTGCCCCAGCGCGTCCAACGGGCGGTTGGGCTGCTGAAAGGCGCGCGGGGCCAGCTCACTGTCAACGATGCTCCAGGGCAGGGCTTGCCGTCGGCAGGCGATGCAGGCGCGCCCCCATTGGCTCCCGCAGCTGCCAAGTCCCGCAAAAGTCGCAGCGGGTGGTGGGGCAGAAGAAGTCGCCGAAGAGCAGGCGGTATGCCGTGGTGTTCCAGGGCCATGGGCTGCTGGAGCGATCTCCGCCCTGCACGGATACCCGGGGGATGCCTGGCCACAAGGTGATGATTCCTTCCAGCGCAAGTGATGCCCAGGGAACGGGTCCGAGATGTCCGCGGTGCTCTAGCGAGAGCACGTCGTCTCCTAGGCACCTGTACGCACCTCCATCATCCGCCCAACTCCGTAGGTCGCTGTGATCGGGGAGGTGCATGATGTTGTTCCTGTGCTCGTGCACGATCACTCTGAATGCACTGGCCCGGGTCTCATCATCCACGAGGTTGTGGTTTTGCCCCGGAGTGCGCTCCGCCCCTCTGTTTGTCAGTTCGCGCCAGGTGCCTTCAACGCGTTGGTAGCTCCGAAGGAGGGCGCCCATGGTGCCTCCTCTGCCTGGGACTCTGGGGTCGGCAACGCGTGGGCCGCTGGCTGGACCATCGCTCTCACGGCTTTGTCGCCAGCCAGCGTCAGTGCGTCCTGTGGCGCCCGTCCACCTCGCGTGGATGTCGGCGCTGAATTGTACCCTTCGCGTGCCCCGCTCAGCGCCGCCTACGTCGAGGCGAGGGCTCGTCGTAGCCAGCTGCGGCGAGGTGGTCGTCTTCGGGCGACCAATCTGGAGAGGGGCACGGCACGGGGCACGCCACCTGGGGGACAGCAGCCCGCAGGACAAAGAGGGAGCGGGGCTCCTCCCTTCTGAGCCAGGAAGGATGGGTGAGGGGGCAGGAAGTCCAGGAGGGGGGTGATAGTGGGGGGGGGATGACGCGGGGCGATCGAGGCGGCTGCGTTCCGACCTGGGATCGCGGGCGGCTGATCGCGATCGGCGGGAGCGGGAGATCCTGTTCGGCGCGGGCACCCCGCCTGTCCTAGTGCACCGCGATTGGCGCCCCTGGCTGCTGACGTATCCAGGCGAGCGCCGCGCTCCTCCGCGTCTGCAGCTGAGTGTTCTGGGCTGCACCGCCAGGGCCCGCTACGGAGGGGTTGCCGCGCGGGGGGCCTGATGCCATCAGGGCTGCATCTGGGTTGCGAGGCCCATAGTTCGCTTGCTGCGCTGACTGCCCAGGGTTCCTCGCCGGGTCGGCGCCGCCAGGAATCGCCCCCGCTGGGCCTCCGCTGCTGAAGGCAGCCGCTTCGGAGGAAACTGGGTGAGGGAGGGTCTTCCGTGCCCATTGGGGAGGGTTGCCCGTCCACCGCAACGCCGTCCGATCCAGGCTGCAAGCTTCCAGGAGCTGAGGTGGCTCTACCGCGGGAGCACGTGCCTTCAAACAGCAGTTCCCCCCCAGGGCAGCTGACGGTCGCTCTTCCCGCGCCCAATGCCGCGCTGCTGGTCGCGGCGCGGCCAGGAGGGGGGGAGGTTTCCATCCGGGCAGGACCTGCGGCTCTTGGCCCATTCCCAGCGGCGGCCTCCGTCGCCGCGTCGACGCTGCCAGGATCGACGCTAGCTGGTTCTCCGCTGCTGAAGGCAGCCACTTCGGAGGAAGCAGGGGGGGGGGGTCGTCTGTATCCATCGGGGACGGTCGCCGACCCTCAGCATCGCTGTCCGCGCCCGGCTGCACGCTGTCTCGAGCCGCGGGTCCGCCTCTGCTGTCAGCGCCCCCACCGCCGCGGGACGGTTCCCCCCTAGCGCGGCTGAAGGCCGCTCTTTCGCTGTCGGAACGGGCGCCGCATTCCGCGGTGTCTCCCGAGGTGGGGGGGCTTCCATCGGACCAGGACCCTGAACCCCCTCATCGCCCCCAGTGGCAGCCCTCGTCGCCGCACCGTCGCGCTGATGACTCTGCGCAGTCGGAGCGACATCACGTGGGGCGTCCGCTCTGCTGCGTATCCCGCCACCACTGTCTGCTCCGCAGCTGTAGGCTGCATATTCTGGTCCATTGTGTGAGTCGCTCTCCAGGGTGGCTCCAGGGAGGGGAGGGAGACACGTCGAGCCGCCACCGCGCATGGTGGAGGCGTGAGCTTCGTCCGCCGCAGGGCTCATCACTCCGTTTCCTTCTGGCCCGAAGGGCCCGTCTTCTCCTCGCAAGGTCTGCAGGCCACTGGCTTCGCCCAAGGGGGCGCCAGGGGAACCGCTCTGTGATGCGCCGGGGCTTGGATCTCGGAAGCCAGGAGTGCCTCGCTCGCCTATGGGCGGGCGGTGATCGCTACTCTGGGGGAGCCTCTCGCAGCTGAAGGCTGCAGTTCCTTCGACAGCTAGGGAAGCAACGCCAGGATCACCTCTTCCACGGGGGCCGGGCGGATCCCAAGAAGGGCGCCATCATCCGCTGCCCCCACAACTGGGGCCTGTGCTTTCGATGTTCTTGCTGAACGTGTTCAAGATCTGGTATGGTGAATGTGTTATTTGAGTAGAATATTGCTGTATGCTATGGTTATCTACCTTTGCCGTATTTGATATACGCATGTTGATATTGTATGTTATTGCTACGTGTTCTTGATGTGTGTGTGTGTGTGTGTGTGTGCTCATGATGTTGGCAGTTGCCCCCATAGATTGGTGCACATTATTCGAGACTGTTCTTCATGGTTGCTCTCGATGTGCGCTGTCGGGCTTTTGTCGGACAGGTTTCCCTTTGTATGCTGTGTGGTGTATGATGGTGCCATGTGGTTTGTCCCTTCTAAGCCACTGTACCGCGCTTGCTGATTTGTCCTCTCAGGCAAGCGAAGCGTGGCGTCATGACGCCTGTGGACTGCTGTTGTCGTGTGGCATGTTACAAACATGTTGATATACGGTTGTTGCGAAGTGTGTTATGGACAATGCGTGCGCGTGGATTTTCATGTGTGCGTATCAAAAATGTGGGTGCTATATGGTTTGGTCTAAACTTTGGACATGCCTATGCAGTCGTTATGTCGGGTCATGCTGCCAGTTCTTGATGTCTGTCCTGGATACCTGCTGGTTGCATGCTAACCTGTCTTCCCCACACGGAGCTTGCACTTGGGGACTCCTACGCCGCTTTCAACGAACTGGGCTCGTTCGCGGCATCGGCGGCCCTGTTCCCGTCTGGCGCGGAGGAGAAGGAGGAGGAGGAGGAAGAGGAAGAGGAGGAGGAGGAGGAGGAGGAGGAGGAGGCGCCCCCTTTCTCCACATCGCACGCCCGCTCGCGGCCCCGGCGGCTCCGTTCCCGCCCCTCGCCGCCGCCCCGCCGCACCCCCCCCCCGTTGCACTGCAGTCGTCTTGCGCTGCACCGCAATCGCACCGCGCTGCTATCGCGCCGAATTGCAGTCGCCTCACTTCGCACTGCTTTGCATCGCGTGGCACTGCTTTGTGTTGGTTTGCATTGCTTTGCATCGCGTCACGCTGCGTTGCACTGCGTGGCGTTGCTTTGAACTGCTGTGCATTGCTTTGCATTGGCTTGCATTGCTTCGCATTGCAATCGCACTGCTTTGCTCTGCGTTGCTCCGCATTGCTTTGCGCCGCATGGATTGCACCACGCTTGCACCACATGGCTTGCACCACCTAGATTGCACCACATTGATTGCACCACCTCGATTGCGTCGCATCGACGGCAAGAAATCAATGTGCGGGGTCCACGCTGACAAACAAGTGCATGTAATTGATGTCTGTGGCCGATACATGCTACTGATGACTGTCGCCGATGTGTGCTATCAGCGTCTATGGTTGATGCTGGGTACAGACGTACCTTTTGGATGGCATGTGCTTGACCTGCTCGTGGTGGAAATTATTGGCACCTGTTAGTGGCATCGATTTTTGATTAGTGTCCTGATGTATGTGTTTGATGCACGGTCTTATTTTTTTGATTCTGCAGAGCGCGTTCCAGACAAAGCCCTGGCACTGGGCGCGCATTGGAAAATCCGATTTAAACGTTCGCACTTGATTCTGCATGCGCGCCGCATTCCCCGCGGCGGAGTTCAAAAATGCCGCTCCCGCCACCGACGCCGTCGAGATCCGATCCGCCCTCCTCATCCTCGCCCTCTTCGCCCTCCCTCTCCGGCACGGAGCGCGGACACTTGAGGACCGGAGCTCCCTGTGACGCGGCGCATTGCCGACGACACCCTCCAGGCATTGCCAGCGAAGGGTGCAGCTCCTCAGGCATGCAATGCCTTGTGTGTTTTGTTTGCTCACGGGAAGGGACGGCGGCGCACCGACAACCATATCGTGGGGTGCAGGCGTCATCGTGAGGATGCCGCTCCTAACTCGGGGAGACGTAAGACTCGGGTACAGGGGACTCGGGTTGGCCTCACGGGGGCCAACATGAAAATGACGAGGCCCCATCTGAAATCTGACGCGGGCTCCCGCTGCAGACGTCCCACGAAAACGGGACCGTCAAAATCCAAGACGCGCTCGTCAAAAATCGGCAAACCCGAGTTCCGGCTTACTCGAGTCTTACGTTTCCCCGACAAACGTCCCAAAGTCATGCGACTAGCAGGCCGGCGCCGTGTCCCGTGGCGGCTTCTTTAGAGAAGCGCATGGCGTGGGCAGCGCGTAAAAGAAAGCTCCTGGGGGCAGTAGCCAAGCAGCGATGCGATAGCAGATGGTATATGTGAAGGGCCTCTTCACACCGCACATGATAAAGTTGTTATGCGATTAAAAAATTCGCGTAATGTTGCCTGCGCATGGTCTTTACGCAGAGCGGCCGATAAAGACAGATGGGACTACACTGCCTCCAGATACGCAATGCACTCGCGAGACCGATGCATGGCGAACGCGCGTGGTTGGTTCTGTCCCGACACCAGCACCACCACATCCTCCCCCCCAACCTCCTGCTGCGCACCGCGTTCCAACATATGCACGTCTCCATGGACCAAGCTGAATACGTGCTTCTTTGGCCCTTAATTACGGCCCCCAGCCTCCACAATTAAAGGAGCGGGTCAACTTGTGGAAAATACAAGCCAGCTCTGCTAAGCCACGAGCAGACATTGAAAAACGGGTGTGAAGGAGCGCCATGCTTCAGCATCGGCGGCGTTTCGATCGCCAAATCGTTCCATGTAGGCCGGAGCACTCACAGATGCGAGCCGCTGCTGACCCTGGAGGAAACTGCTCACGCCGCTGATCACCGTAGCCACTCTGCTCGAGACCGGGCACTCTAAAAAAAACCAGGCATGCTGCTGACCCTCAAGGCAGCTCACAGAACCCCGCTGCCGTGGTCGCTCGGTCCGCGACCAGGCCCAGGCACACGGCACGAGCGATCACAGGGGGCCCCCTGCATGGCGCAAAACCGCGGCGACGCTGCACGAGCGGCCGCGCGACGGCGGGGGGGCGGCCGCGGGCGCTCGGGGCCTCGGCGCCGGCCCGCGCACCCTGCGGCGCAGCACCCGGGAGATGGCGCCCGCCCAGCACGCGGCGCCCTCGGCCGCGCCGCCCTCCGCGGCGCCCTCGCCACCGCCCGCGGCAGCCTCCAGCGCGGGCACCGCGGCCGCCGCCGTGCCGGGGAAGTCCTCCTCGGAGGTCGCGCTGCGCTGCCTGACGCCCGTCCCCCAGGGCGTGCATCTCGTCCGCTGGCCGAGCGTGGTCTGCTGCTCCCAGTACGCCTCGGACCGGAGACGCCGGAGGGGGGCCTCCTTCTGCGCTGCCATCGCGGGCCACCTCCTGGGGAGGTACATGACTGGCTCGAGGAATACCTGCTCGAGGAGCTCCAGCTCGTCGCCGCCCTTCTGCGGCGCGGTGGTGTCGTGGTCGTGGTCGTGATCGCACCGATCGAAGGTCAACAGCTCCGACGACGGGCACCGCGTAGGGAACGAGTTTTCTCCCGGGGAGTTGGGGAGCGCCGTCTTGCTCTTGATCGGGTTGGCGAAGGCAGCCTCGCCATCCTGAAACGTCGCCATGAGCACGGACATGTGCTGTCAGAGTGGTGGCCAGCCGGCAAGCACGCGTCTTGCACTAGCTAGCCCTTGTGCCTTGACCAGGATGACTTGAGCCAAACTGGCTACGGATGTGTGATGCACGGTCTTGGTAGATGTTCTCATCTGTTCAGGATGAGTGCTCATGTTGTGTAGTTGTGTATAGTTAACTGCTTCAGGATGTCAATGACTAAGGTATGTGAGTGACCCCTATTGTTGGCGCCTGCTCTTGACATCAGCGCACGGCGTGGCGCCATGACGCCTGTGATGGCTGACTAAGCGTGGACTACTTTTGTCTGTCGCTTCGATGCCCAGGGCCCGGCCAGACGGGATACTCGGGGCACCTGGGATTACTCGAACCCGCGCCCGCGAAAAGGACTGGCAGGGTTCCCTTTAGAGGAACAAGAACCGGCATGGACGCCATTTCTCTGAGGCCCGCGCGGATTTTTCGAATGGATCGGCGCTGGGCCCCCCTCCCTGGCGCGCCCCGCAGCGCCGATGCAGGAACCCCGCGCGGAGCGCAGAGAAATTGGGCTTTTACCGTTTCTTGTTCCTCCATTCTTGCCATCTAGGAAACCCAACCTGTCTCT